GTACGGGCTGGGGCTGCCCTACAAGGAGAGACCCTCTAAGACTCAAGCAAGCAAGCAAGACAGGCGGGAGGGCTTCTCGCTGCACCGAGGTCTGCAACACAGACTACAGCGTTCTAGATGTGAATGAAGGCATGTGGCAGAAGCTGGATTTCCTGCGTGCGTGGCTCGGACGCTATCGGCCGAGCTAAGAGACGGGTCGCGCCGCGCTTTGGCGCAGAATCCGTCAGTTGCATGCAGCAATGCAGCATCAATGCTGGCATGTTTAGGCGGAGGTCTTGCTGCATCGTAAATCCTGCGATGTGTGCTCTGGGGCTGCAAATTTGCCTTTGAGTCAGCGGTGCCGACTTGTGTTCTTCGATGTTGAGAAGAGTGCTTGAACTAGGTAACTGGGGTATTTGGCTTTGACAAGTCACAGCGCGCTGACTTTGTGTGTCCTGACGCAGACAGCACGAATTACTCAAGACGTCCATGCGTTGAAATGCCGCATCCTTTTCGTGTCGACGACGATCCCAAATATGGTTGCACAAACTTGGCAGCAGGTGCATGTGGAGGCCCTCTGCTTCGGATCTGCAACTAGCTTGCCCAGACAACCTCTGGCGGCGGCTGACTTTTGACGGTAGTGTACTCTAAAACACGGCCAGGATGGGCTTTGTGAGCATTCAGACAGGTGTGGCGCCGCTTCGGCCCATTTCGGCCCAAGACTGAGTAAATCAGAAATTCGACATGGTCCATGGAGATGGAGCAGCCGGCGCCGATTGATGATGACAGTGTTCCGATCTTCCTGGCGGTTAGTGGGTTTTTTCAGGCACTTTGCCTTATCAAGCTTTTGCACATAGCCATCCGAAACAGGGACCGTGTGGCATCGTGGTTTCGCAGTCTGGCTTTGCGCTCACGCTGGTTGGTCATGTGCTTCTCTGATGATGTCAAGACGAATGCAGAGGAGGAGCAGTGGATTGCACGCGAGGTTTGCCTTATACGACTGCGCCTGGCACGCGGTTATTCTTACTTCCTGCTGATAGCTACATGCGCATCAGTCGTATCAGTGCAGCTGGGCATTTTGCAGGAGACGCAAGCGAATGCACCTGCAGCATTTTACTGGACTATCTTGCTCATGTTCGTCCTCTGCACAGTGCACCTTCTATTTCCGAAGATGCTTCAGCGCACCACGCTCGACATGTTCTACGTGGCCATTATGGCGGCGGCTGCGTTTTTGCTAAGTCCCTTGTGCACAAATGCGGACGGAGTCCCATACATGTCGATCATTCTGCTTGCATTTCTACGTCTCCCGGCAAGCAGCTTTGCATCCAGGGCTTCGATAGCCTTTACCAGCAACATAGCTACAGCCGCCGTCGTAGTGATCAGGGCCTTCGTTGACTGGGACGCTGCACTATGCCAGAGTGGAAGCTGCAGCATCAGTCGAGACGTTTACTTCGAGCGCGCTGCAATCGTGACCGAAGTGTCGGCCTTCTTCCTAGTGGCCGGTGTGTCGCTCTCCGCTGAGGCGCGTCGGTCGGTTGGTCTCCCCTTCAAAGTATCAGCACGTAGCCAACATTAGCAGGAGGGCGCCAACATGTAACCAGGCTCTGCATGAGGTGATTGAATTATAAGTAAGAGGATGAAGGCACCAGAGTTGCTCTTCGCGGTGGGGGCCTCGGTCATGGGTATCTCTGAAGCGGGCAACAACCGTTTCGTGAAAGATAGCTTTACAGAGCAACCTTGAGCAAACATGTTCTTCAAATGCATCCTTAAAGTTGGGGCAATGGGGTGTAGAGCGCAAAACAACGTGAACGCGAGAAATACGCGAAAATGCGAGAAACGGGAAACACGCGAAAAACACGAAAAACCCGTAGTAGTAACTATAGTACTAGTAGTAATATAGTAACAAAAATCATAATAGTAATAATCATACTAGTAACAATAACAGTATTAGTAATTTAATAGCAGTAGTAATAGTAATAGTAATAATAATGGTAATCGCATACTATCGGGTTTCGGGTTGTTTGCGTTTTTCGAGTTTTTAGCTTTTCTCGTGTGTTTCGCGTTTTTAGCATTTTTTTTGCGTATTTAGCGTTTTTCGATTTTTTGCGTTTTTCGACTTTTTTTGCGCGCTTGTCGCCGACCTCGCTTGTGCGCGATGCGAAAAAGGCTCGCGTAGGTAATCCCAGTGCTCTCTGGTCGTTCGCTAGTTGGCCCGCTGGAATCATCTTATTCAGTTGTGGGCGAAGCGATTTAGGCTGTCCTGCATGGCATAGAGCGCCATATGCAGCTGCCAGTGCACGCGTGGTGATCAGAAGGAGAATTGCTTGGAACTTGAGTGCGACGGCAGGTCATACTACGGCGGACCGTGCAGCAAGGCCGTCAATACCGTCAGTTAAATGCTTCAACATCGCTCTTGCGATTGGCTTGTGATGCGGTCTTAGAACTTGACGAGGACCGGCTTGTTGTCAGAGAATGTTGCTGTTGCGACGTGATGTGGCCCCTTGTCCCTGCGCAGGATTTATGTCTTACCGAGCATTCTCCAGAACTTGCCGCAATTCTCCTGCGAGATCGGCCTGGCTCCTCTTTGGCAGGGGTTCCGTTCACAGACTTCGTGGCCACAAAGGAGGAGGCCGCCCGGGCAGAGCAGGCCTTGAACAAAATGAGCTTCGAGGACTTGTCTGCAAGTGCCTTCAGCACGCGGCTTGTCGACACCAACTCCAGCAAGTTTTGTACGGAGCTTCTCCAGGTCAAGTACTGCAAAATGGGGAATACCGTGCGTCATCTCATCGGCTTGCGCGAGATTACTGACCAGGAGTCGCTGGCCAGACCGAAAGGACTTGATGCGACGTTTCATGGGGATGCCGACGACTCATCCGTCTCTTGCCCATACAAGCTGTTGAGCTCAGCAGAAGCCTCGCCCGTGGGTTTAGCTCAAGAGGGAAGCCGCTGCATGTCTGTGAAATCTCTCGAAGGCAATCGACCGCGTCCGATAATCTATATGATTCTGGATATGCAGTCCTGCACTGTGGGAGGGGCCTCGCTAGCGGCTGCAAGCCTGGTTGGAATGAACGTTTCCGAACTATTTCCCGGCAGGGCTTCGGAGCTACTGCAAGGCTTCTGGGAAGAGGTGGACCGCTGTGAAGACGCAAGCGAAGTCGCAGTGCTGACCCAGAAGCAGCGCTTCTTCAGTGAGTGGCTAGTGCAGTGGAGCCCACAACAGGCCGACTTCATCGACGGCTTTGTTCAGGTCTTGCAAGACGCCGATGGCACGCATCAGCTCCTGCTGCACTGCGTGGCTTCGGCGAGATCCCCACTTTCTCTGTCCGGCATCTCAGACAGCGGACGGTCCACCGGAGCAAGGCCGTCTCCCTCTACCGCCGCGCAGGCTCTCTCCGTTCTGCCTGGAATGCCGCTACCGGATGTTCAGTCGCTGCACTAGCCATCCGAGGGTTTCAAACATTTTGGCCGTGCCGTTGCCCCGGATCGCAGAGGTAGGAGCTGGACATAGGGGCATGTGCACTGCACCCGCTCCTGAAACAAAGGGCGGGCTTGCCTCGTGGCATGTCTGATCAACAGTTGAGGCTGCTGACAAAGGTATTAGATCCTCCCTGAAGGGGACAGGACATGACCCTTTTTGCAGTGTGCTGGAGAGAGCCAGCAGCTGCACTTGCTGTGCTCGCACAAAATCAATTTCCAGTAGTTGCCAATGGCAGGATGACCAAGCGGCGTCCTAGGTCCCCGGGGGACGATCGTTTTCGCAAGCTCTTCCTTCTTGCCACCACGATTTTAAGTGCTGTACAGGCTCCAATAATTTTGTTCCTTTCCTGCATGAATTTTCTTCTATGTTTTTGAATGCATCGAATTATGTTTTCCAGCCAGAAAACTAAGCTTGCCAGCCAGAGCGCGTCTTGCTGGGATTGCAAGTGTTTGCAAAGCAGACATGGCTATGCAGCAGAGCAGCACTTCGCCCAGGTCGCCAACATGAGCCTGGCAAAGCGCAACCGCTGAGTGTGCTTGTTCGTGCCTTTGGCCCAGCGCTTGCTTAGTACTGTCCATGATGATACCTTCAAGCAAAAAGGGCCAGCTGGCGCGACGCTACACCGGCGCCGATAGCATCGGCAGCCAGCAGCACCGGCACTTATGCACTACATACTGCCAGCAGCGCCAGCAGCCCCAGCAGCCACCAGAACCACCGGCACTCTCAGCAGAGGCAGCGGCATCAGCAGCGGCAGCGGCAGCTTCACCAGCAGCACCAGCGGCTGCGGCAGCACCGGAAGCAACAGCATCACCAGAAACAGGCCACGCGACTAGCATCGCCATCGTGATTCTTATGATCACGCACTCCCCCCTTGCAGCCCCCAAAGTCAAGGAACCTCCCTCCTCTGGGTTGGGTGGAAAATTTGTGGGTTTAGTTTAGAGATTTCTTTTGTTGGCAGGTGGCTTGAATCTCCCCTCCCCGTATGGGCTTCTACCCATGGGTCGGGTTGGGTTTAGGGAATCCCGTTCCCTCTGCGAGCATGTGGTTTCGGCTTCAATCCCCCATCCCCCTGTGGATGTGGGTGGGTTCGGTTGCTTGCTTTCGAGTTGGGTCTATCTCTGTGTGTTGCAGGTGAATGGAAGTCGGGGTCATCGTCACCTTCATCACCATCTTCATGATCATCTTCTTCATCGTCATCATCTTCATCCGTTGTTAATCTCTGGTGTTCCAGATCACGAGCACGGTCCAGGTCCAAAAACGCCTCATGTTTCGCGTTCCGGCTCCAAGTTGCCCCATCCGTGTGACAGTTACCACATCTTTCGGGGCATCTTGGCGACATCCAGAATCTAGCGCTCAAGACAGCAAGTGCCACGAGGATGGCCTCTCCAAGCCCCTGCTCATCCATGTGACGGTTGCCGGTTTTGATCCATTCCTGCAGGGTCACGGGCCCGAAACAACAACTCACGAGCGGCTCCAAGGTTCCCAATCTCTTGAGACATCACCGCAAGGTCCGGGTGCAGAAGCGACGCCTGCGCCACCAGGATTTAGTGCCACCCTCCCCGGCATCGGGGGATGCCAGATACCTGACCGCTTATCCTTATGCTCTTCGTCGTCGTCGCCGTCCTCCTGCTCATCATCATGGGCTGATGCCTGCGGTCTTCGATTCGCTCCTGTGCGCATGAGATGCCTGTCACTTTCCTTTCGATGTTGCATGAGATCACGACTTTTGTCGCCGTGGCTTGGATTTTAGTCATACCGCTCTACTCGCCTGCAGATTAGACCATCGGGATGTCGTTGGGATGATGTTATTGCAGACAGCTGGGCGAGGTGAAACCCCGTCATTCTGTAGTGTAACTGTAACTTATTGCAGTAACAGTCATTGAACGAATTGCATCTGAATCTGGATTGCGACAAGTGTTGCTCTACGGGCTCTACGACTAAACTCTTCCGGCGGTGTTCGTCATCTCGGCCAAAGTCTTGTCGAAGATTTCAAGCACGTAATCAGCCTTCTCGAAACCTAGGAGACTTTTGGACCATCCGTCATTCGCTGGACAGCACACCTTTTTGTTTCTTTTTTTCTCTCCCTCTCCCTCTGTCTCTCTCTCGCGCGTGTGTGTGTGTGTGTGTGCATAGAGGAGGTTGTGCAACATGAGCCACCGTTGCTTCACGTTGTGACATGGCTTGTCCATTTCTTGTCGCAACTGTGTTGTGAAGGTGCTGTCCGTGTGGCTGCTGTGAGCCTGGCCAGCTGGCAAAAGAGAGCGAGAGGGGTGAGACTGGTTGTGGTGAAACCTCGAAGTAGGGCGCAGACGCAGTGCCAGGTCGTGATGTGGACCTGGCGGGATGGTTCTTACGTGAGCCGCGCCCTGCCATGATGGCCCAAGATCCAGCAGAGATACCCACGAATCCGGCGCATGAAGTCATGACGCTCTGCAGTTCACCGCCCACGAAAGCCGTCTCCCTGTGCCAGTCATCAAGCAGAGCTGAGTAGCCCTAAGACCCCTGCCCAATAGGTTGGCGGAATTGAGAACCACCCGGGAACTGTGATCCATCCGTGGAACTCTGCAAGTACCTTCAAGGTGCTGTCCCTGGTTGAGAACCGAGACATGTTTTGGCATCGGACTATTTTTGCGACTGTTTCTGCACAGGCACCGGAAGTCTGTGATGCAGCCATCTGATGAGGCGGAGTTTCATTGACATTCAGAAGCTTTGTGATTCGCCACTTGTCTTCCACATGTGCTTAGTACACATCCCGGCGCAAGGTTCAGCCCATGAATTAGGATTTCCAAGAAGTCGCGATGTATAGCTTTGGTCGGACGTTATCTGGCTCATACAGGGCAGGGAAGGAGATGATGAGCACACGGAGCAGCCCAGCTTCGCAACACTGAAAGTTTCGAGAAGATTGCAACTGCCGGCGATCGGTCGAGCAGAGTGCTGACAGTATTCAGAACAATGTCAGCACACCCCTGGAGTCGCGTGCATGACTGAGCACCCGACGATTGTTCTAGCCGCTTGGGCCTGACGATGTGATAGAGAGGTTGGAGGTTATTGCCAGCAGCGAAACTTGAAACGGCCGGATGCCAGCAAGGATCCACAAGCTGCGCCCGAACGGAATAGGGCCTGAAGGGGATATGCATTGGTGATGGCGCGTCTCTCGTTTTGCAAAGTGGGATCCAAGGACAATGGAGGTGGATACCTTCGACTTGGCTTTGCAACACAAAGCCGGCCGCTGGAGGAGCCGATGCTCGGAGCAACATGGGTAAGCTTGTGGGGCTTGGGGAGCTTGCGGCTTACGCGGCTTCTGACCGCTCTGAGGAATTGCTCGGCAATTGCGAGTCGTGGGAAAGGCTGCTCTCGCTGGCAGTGGCGATGGCGTGTGCTAGTGTGGCTTTCGAGAGGCAAGCAGGCGGTCGTTTTCGGCAAGGAGGCGCTCTCCTTGCCTTTCTACAGGCACGGGGGAATGAGCCAGCGCAAGGCCATCGCGACCTCACTGAACTCGTGAGGCTGCTGCGACCAGCGCGCCGGGGCTTGCCGTTGGACATGGCGCATCAGGCATCCATTTGGGAGGCTGCTCTTGCGCGCACCGCCCTCAGGCATTGTTCAATACGACAATGCCATGTCGGGCCATGCCAAGGTCTTTTCGATGGGGAGCGCCCGTCGAATGCAAAGGCGCAGAGTTGATGTGCTACTAGCAGCTCCTGCCACGAATCTGAATCGAAGCTGCTGCGATGCTTTCTGTGGCTAGTCTCTAGAGAAAGTAGAGCCGGCTTTTTGAACCTGTTCCAAGCCTCTGTTGCAGTGGTT